TATATATATATATATATTTGTGGAAAAAATGGCAATGATCTGCCTGCCTAAGAAGCCAATAACATCATTGCCAATCTTGAGGTGATACATGACCTCGAGGACCTCCATCAAAAAGAAGTTAGGTTACAAAACGCCAACGACATCATTGTCAGTCCCGAGGTGGTACCCGACCTCGAGAACCTCCATTAGAAAAGGATTAGGCTCCAAGGAAATAAGCACTCAAACTCCATCCGTATGGGCTTGGCCCTGGGGTACTGACCAAATTCGGGAAAACCCTCTTCCAGGGTCTATCTACAGCACCTTAAGGCTATCCACACTAAGTTCAAAGCAAGTTTCCAGACGGTCCGGATTTGAACGAACTTCCACTCGAGGACTGCCTTCAAAAGATCAAAGGAAGTCCCTATCCTCTGGCCCCTTAGCGAAGTTCTCCTTAAAAATCGCTGCAGAGCCCAAGTGATAAATTGCGGTCTCTAGACTCGAAGCATTATTTTCAATCGACTCGAAGCGAGGGTCCCGATGACCCGAGGAACGACGAAGGACTCCACAAGAAGCCATACTAATCAGTCAAAAATTAGGAAAAAACACTGGCACCTGGGTTCGATATTGGCAGTAACCGATAGAATCATGCATGCAGAGTCTCCATAAGAGCAGATAAAAGGAAATATAACAAGTATCAAAGGCAAAGTTAAAGAAACTTCTTCACATTTATAAGAATTTGATTACAAAAACCCACAAGAGGTCCTTACATATGATTACAAAAGCCCACAAGGGGTCCTTACACATAATCAAAGAAACAAAAGGGTACATATGCAAGAAACAGCCTAGAGCCTAGCCTACTCTCAAAGATGCTTCCTCGGTAGCAGCATCTTCGAGCACCATCTCCTCGGGCATGCATCCTTGGCGGCAGTGTCTTCTACCATAATCGCCTCGGGATCTCACCTCGATCAGTCAGAATGGCATCTTCAAAAAGGAATATGAAGAAGAGGAAAATGATGGAGAAGAGCAAAGTGACGACAAGAAGTGGCTGGGTGAAACATCTGGCTAGTATGGATTTCTTCGGTGCCACCATTATGAAGCCACTTCTTGGGACGGTTCCCCGGTGCAGGATGCAATAGTTAGTGGATAGTGCCACCTCACTCCACGGAAAATAAAGGGGAATGAGGCGCCACACCGGGTAATCAGGGGAGGTGAGCAGCGGTGTATAGTCCGAGCCCCCTCTTGAGCAGCGGTGTAAAGTCCAAATATTTCCCTGCATCAGGAAAAATCAGCCCTCTGCTTTATCGTCTCGAGCCAACAACGACAAAAACAACAACAACAACAACAACAACAACAAAATGGCATAATCTTGCTCGACCAGAGAAAGTCCAGGAGATAGACCGTGCCATGGTTGATGAGAATGCCGCCATACAATCTTGAGTCCATGGGCCTCAAACATGGTGAATGAAAATCAGTAAGGATAGTAAGAAGAGAATAATAGATAGATGCGGGAAGATACTTAGATGAAAGCTTGATCCCAAGAGGCTCCCATTTATAGAAAGGGAGGCAGCGTAACCGACAACGCCATTATCGCCCTTCGAAGACGTAACGACAGGTGCATTTAATGCGTCCTTGGGAGCCGAACCGACAACGACATTATGGCTTTGAAGAATGAAAAACCACAATGCTTTGAATGATCCTGGAGAAGTGAAATGACGGGACGTTTCGATAATCGCAGAGGCGTGCGTCATCGGTATGACATCATCACACGAAGTCCGAAAAGTCGGATGTCAAAATTGTTTCTTGTTGATTCTTTCTAAGAAATGCGAGGACTAACTGTATACGGTGAAATCGAAAAGTCCAATTCCTCGTCGTCGAGGAACCTCAAAAGATCATCTCGAAGCCTTGAGGCTATAGGGCTATGATCGAGCTTCCTCCCTCGAGATTCATCGATGCCCGACCTTGGGATAATGTCCACCACAGCTGTAGTAGAGATGGGGAGTTCCCAAGGCACACGGCTAGGACTGACAGAGCTTAGTAGACTACCCTAGCCCTGAATCAGATTGTCATCTAGTTGTCCCATCGTCGTATCTTTGTAATTAATGTGTTTTGTACTATGTAGGAATCCTCTTCCTATATAAAGGGGGGTCCTTGTCATTTTTATACCTCTGTTGCTCCAATTGCTCTACACGAAATATACAAGAACATTTGCTTTGCTCTCTAACACATTCCTTGATATTACTGCTTCCATTTATTGTCTTCGTTATTATTCTTCATTTATTGCTTATCATTGGCCATAAAGAGCCTCCGTTGACTTTATTATATCTGTTAGCCGTACTTCGATCACCATCAATAGCTCCCAGCCGAGCTCCAGAATCGACCTCGAAGCCCCGAATCGACAAGCTCGAGCCCTCGATAATTGACCTATCGGTTTGGTTATCACTCTTTCCTTAACTCTCGTTGCATCTCTAAGTCTCACATACATAGCATCAACTGCTTAACAACTAGCATAAAACTAGATCACGTATTTTTAGAATCCCATAATCAAATTTGCTTGTTATTAATATTTTTACGGTAAACAAGTTTGTTTGACCACCTAATCCAGAATGCACTGGTGGCCTTGGAGGTCTTCTTCCTCGACCTGTGTTTTCTGTTTGCACATTTATTGACTTTGTTGTCACGTACTCTATATCTTCCTGCATCATAGTTAACGCACACACAAAAAAAAAAGTTCATTTGATTGGCCAAAATATACCCAATTCATCATAAAGAGAATGGGTAGAGATAGTAGCGGAAACAAGCTTTTCACCAAGGAGATTCAAACAATAAAATAATTGAACACCCAAAGAAGCTAAGGACATTCAACATCTAATATACAGAGTATAATTTTCGGCGAAGGAAAATTTGGCTGATCCCCTTCCGCCCATCTAGCTCAACCCGCTCTCTAAAGCAAATCCTATAAATTTAATTAATTTAGTATGATACTTTCTGCTCGAACTATATATAATACATATGTCCAAAAAAATTAATACGCATGCAATAAGAGGTCGCGTTAAGTTTTGTTTACTGGTTTGACATAATCTAATAGTTTTGACCCAAATCTTATGTTGATATTAAAAATCTTCCAAATATGTATAAATAATTCATTTAAAATTGAGTAAGCTATGTTTTTTAAAATCTAGAATCCATAAATCAACTCAAAATTCTAAACGCTACCGTGCAGATAACTGTATACCGTGGATGTCATCTCTTCCTTTCCTTGGTTTGAATATGTAGAGACAGAGCTGGGGCTGTAGCCATAACCATATCCAAAACAGTTATGTGTGGCTTTAATCAATCTCTCAAAAATATTGCAAGGATTTTTTGCCATTTCTTTCTTTCTTTTTCTGAGTAGTGTTTCTACTTCTTTCTACAGAGTTGAATGGTGTCTTTTAATGGTATGTTGGTGGAGTAGAAAAGCTTGTGGTGTTGTGTGTTAAAGCTTTAACATATGTAATTGTCAAGGAGATTGGAAACATTGTTTAGTTGAGTGACACGTATGTCTGAGTCATGATATACTCGATTTTAGTAGTGTCTAGTCCAAAGATTTTTATACCTTATTGTTTGCTCAACAGTTTTGACAATTTCATTGAATTTAGACCCAACATTTTATTTTAATCATATAAATTTTTTACTATTTCGAATGGAGGAAATGTTAGTTTATATGAGTCCACCAAACTATACAGTACCTAGTCCTCTATGAGTTTTCACAAAGAATACTAATGAAACAGTAAGTAAATAAGACACGGGATTTTTACGTGGAATAATTCCACTCAAGGGGACAAAACCACGACCTACACTTGTAGGCTTTTAACTTCACTAACTTGTAAACACTCTATTACAAGCCACTTTGTAATGACTCTATTACAAAGACTTCAACTCAACTAACTTGTGATACACTTATCACAAGCCACTTTGTCGCTCACTAGTTACAAAAACTTTAACTCAACTAACTTGTGATACACTTATCACAAGCCACATTGTCACTTACTAGTTACAAAGACTTTAACTTATGACTAATTCTAGTCACAACATAAACTCAGAAAGTTTATGGTGTTACAAAGGGGTTCTTAAGCAACGCCTAGCTAAGCAATTTAGGAATTACAATAAGAACAATCACAAAGTTACAACTCAACTAAGGACAACAAAATACTAAATTTAAGAGCTGGTCCGTAGTAGCGTTTAACTTTGTTCTTCAAGCTCTTGAGAATTGAGTTCACTGTTTGCAGAAGGCTTGAATACTTGAACTGAATTCTCAAGTGTTCAAGTGATGTTTTATTATAATGCTCTTGTTAATACACCCTTGATGACATCAGTTGAATGATGTAAGCAAAAAGCAAGTGACTGCAAAACTGCTGCACTGCAAAACTGTTGCATTGTGTGCACTGTTTCTGTGGTAATCACTACACAGTTGACTTTCGTATTGCTGTCAAGGAGACACAAGGGATCAGGTCCTTGACTTGTTTCTCTATTTTCTGCACTTGCAGCAGTTCACATTAGCTGGAGTCTAGGCTGGAATCCATTCATTTGTAATGTGTACCAAGTGTGTCAGGTTCCCTATCTGGTTCTTGACAGTAAATTTGTTAGATCATCAAAACATAAGGCAAAGACATTGAAAACCCATCAATTTCCCCCTTTTTGATGATGACAAACTTAGATATTGATAACATGTATTTAAAGCAAAGATAACCAGATGAAGTAACAGGAACTTCACAAGTTCCCCTTGACTTTATGTTTCTCCCTTAATCAGATACCTGTTTCAATTCAATTATACTTCCCCCTTTTGGCATCATTAAAAATACACAAGCAGGAAAATAGCATAAAGAAGTCTAGCGTAGCTAACTCATGCCACATATGTGCACACAGCATGATAGAGAAGAGAAATAGAGAACGCAAGTAATGAGATAATAAAAGAGGATAGATTTTATATATATAAAACACATGCTTGGACTGTTGAAAACGGGAGCAGTACTGATACATCCCAACCACATAAAAAAAAAGAAACAAAAACATCTGCCAAGTCATAAAAACTAAAAGAGACAATCCAGAAACAGGTCACTGAAGGGGTTACTTAAGGGGCACTAGGAGTAGAGGTCTTGGAAGCTGCAACAAGAGTTTGGAGAAATAGGTCTATTCAGGCATTGGCTGACTTTTGCTCATTGAGCAGTTCTGCTTTCTGGTTCTCCACTTGTGCCCTGAGATCAGCATTCTCTTTTATCAAACAAGCCACTTCCAAATTTGACATCGGGTCCCCTTGGGCCTGCTAACCTTCCAGGATAGCATTCCTCGCCTTCAATCGTCTAATCTCCTCAGTTGCACTATTCTGAGCATTGATGAGCTGAGAGATTGTCAATGTACTGCCTAACCCCCCACTTTTCTCGATGCACTCACATTCTTCCAAGCTTGTTTGAGAGAATGTCTGCTTTTTGGTCCCTACTTTGCTTTGTCCCAGTGGCACTTTGAAAAACTTAAACACTTGCGTAAGTAGAAACCCGTTTGGAAGACTGTGATTTCCATCTTTGAAGGTTGCTACCTGCTGCATATGTTCGATCATGATAGCAGGCAAGTTCACAAGGTTATAGCCATCCAGTTGCTCCATTAGAAACAAATCAGATTTAGAAGTCATGGACCTCCTCTCAGCACGAGGCAACAAGACTTTGTTCACCAGCTTGAAGAGCAACTGATAAATATGGAGCAATGCCTTCTTATGAATCAGGTCCCCCTTTTGGTTCGCATTATCCTTTACCACAGCATTCCGAAAATTAGATCCATACGCATCTTTCACACTAGACACACCAACTGTTGGGACTTTAAGAATATCCCCAAGAAGACTCACATCGAACATGATATCCACTCTATTCACCAAGGCACAAATATATTCGGTATCAACAGGAAAGAGGCTGGCAAAGAAGCTTTGAAACTCATCCTCATACACCTTAGGTGCATCCATTTGGAATAGACGCCCTTATCATTGAAACTCAACTATCTCAAGAACTTGTCGCATACCAGCCATATCAGAGATTGCTTGGTCAAAAGTGCGACCCAGCAGGACTTTTTGGTGCCTCAAATGTTCTGAAGCAGAACTGATTTCACCTCTCACCCTTTTCGCAGAAATAGGTTCCTTAACAGGTTCAGACTTTCTCTTGCCAGACTTCACTACATTTGATTTTGCTTTTCCTTTAGACTTTATCAACACATCCTCTTCAGAAACTGATGGTTCACTCACAACATCCTTTAACTTTGCACTGGGGTTGAAACTTTCTCCACTGAAGTAGGGTGCTTCTTTTTCTGGGACCTTCTAACCAAGGAATCAGGTTCCTCTAGTGTTTCCTCTTCAACTTCTACCACAAGGACATCTTTATCGCACACTACTACATTATTTTTCACCAGTCTCCTCCTTTTATTTTGATTGCTCTTTCTGCTCTTTTGAAGGGCAGAATCATAAGCTACCTTTGCCTGTAACCTTGTAGTAGGTCGCTTAGTAGAAGACTCAGGGGTGATCACTTCCCTTCGCTTGACTAGGAATGCATCAAGAAGAGTGTTGTCTTGATCCTCCTCTTCACTAGACCTCGTCTCAGGCTCTAGAATGTCCAAGGGCTCAACAGAAAATGCAGGAGCAGAACTGGCCTGAGAGTGAGAACCCTGGCCTGTTTCCTCCGGAGAGGGGTCAGGTTCCTCACGAGAGGGCCCAGTAGTTTCTGCTAGTGCAGAGCCTTCAACAGCCACCATGGCTCTTTCTCCCCCCATACCCCGTGTCTCGTTCCTCTGAGACATAGAATCACCAGAAATTACTTCATGTAAGACTCCATCAGCAGATACCACAAAGATGGTCGCGATATTTTCTTCCTCAATAGGCTCCATAGCCACTACATAAACTGAAGCAAGAATGGCGGAAACCTCTACAACCTCAGGACTTTTACCCTGTTTTCCACTTTTCCCTTGATCAATAGGAATCTCAAAAGATAGAGAAGAGGAATCAAAAACTTTAGGTTTTTCTGAGATAGTTGCCTTAGAACTGGAGGATGACACGAAAACTGGGTTAAGAGTGATTTCAGTGATAAGGACAGGGGCAGTTACAGAGGACTCATCGGAGATGAAGGACTCAATAGTTTGATCAGGGTTAGTGATGACTGAGGTAGGAATTTCGGAGTTTGTGTCAGCCATTGAAGAGATAGAAAGAAAATTCTTTGGAGAAGTTCTAATGGAGGACTGTGGTCTGTGAGGAAGGGAGAGGGTTTTAATGAAAGAGTATAATTATGAAAAAAGAGATGGGAACCAAATCCGAAACGGTGGTTGTGCTTGGAGAGTTGCAATGTTTCAGAGGGAGATGGAACGATTTGAAGTGAAAAGACATGACAGTAGAGTCTGAAAAGGTGGATTACATGGCAGTTGATATTTGTATCTTTTCAAGACGTGTATTAAAGAATGCACAGAACTACTAACCTTTGGTACAAGAACCAGGTTCTTGACTTGTCATTTTAAATTCCAATCCTCTTTTATCACCCATGCAATGCATCTACAACTTCTATAATCATCATGTGTGTTTACATGCAATGGTATTGAAGTGAGTTAGACTTGGCCAGAAACACTTTAGCTAATTTTACCTGAAGGTGATTTTTATAGCCAACTAATGGAGAATCAGGTTCTCAATTAGGTTTCAATAACCCCAGCTTCACCCTGTTTCTTTCAAAATGTTCCATACTCAAAGCTTTGGTGAAGATATCTACAATTTGGTCTTCTATGCTGTAGAACTTCATACAGATCAACCCTTTATCCACATTGTCCCTCAGAAAATGACGCCTCACGTCAATGTGCTTGGTCCTTTTGTGTTGAAATGGATTCTTGGCCATGTTGAGTGCACTAGTGTTATCATATAGAAGAGGCACACAATCAGTAAATACCCCAAAATCCTCAAATTGCTGCTTAATCCATAGGAGTTGAGCACAGCAATATGCTACAGCTACATATTCTGATTCAGTTGTTGAAAGAGCCACTGAGTTTTGCTTCCTTATGCCCCAAGAGATGAGACATGTTCCTAGAATGTGAGCCATTCTAGAAGTGCTTTTTCTGTCCATAAGATAACCTGCATAGTCAGCATCAACATACCTAATGAGATTAAAACTGTCACCTGAGGGGTAATACAGGACCAGGTCCTGTGTTCCCTTAAGGTATCTCAAAATTGTTTTAGCAGCCTTCAAGTGAGATTCCTTGGGATTTGATTTTGGGTTCTATCTGCGATAGAAATACCGAAAGGACTAGGGAATTTTTGGCTTTTTGATCTTGTCTGAATCTAGAATCAAGGGGGTGATTATGTTATCGAGTGGATGGGAGCTTTTGTGTTTCCAAATGGGGACTGAAGTTTGATTAGTAGAGAAACTGGGTAAATTAAGTGGATTTCCCTTC